ACATCCACCTCTTGGCGCTCATATGATCTTATGCAGTTGCGAGGGCCGTAAAACCTCTACTAAATAAAAAGTGCACATAGTGAACGAACGGTTCTTTGCATAACATCCATGAACGTTTGGCCATAAAGTTGGAGATTTTTCTTTCTTTCTTTCCTTGTTTTGTTTTTGGTTTTTTAAATTTTTGTTTCGTTTTTTGCGACTTACTTGTGTAGATATCACGCACTTTTTTTTTTTTGGGAAAGTGTTTTACGACACTCGCAACTGCATAAGGTCATATGAGCGCGCGGGACACACCTATTTTCAGTTGGTAGGAAATTTTGAATTTTGCCCGGGTGGCGGCCGAAGCCTACTCTTATCGATTTTAGACCACCAAGGGATCTTTAACGTGCGCAACTTGCCCACGGGCCCTCCGTGATTTTTCGCCCTTGTCCGAGAAGGTTAGGTGTAGATCTTTCCTACCAGAAGATCAGGGGTGTGGCAGAAAGACAGCAATAAGGAGTAGCAGTAGAAAGGCTGCAGAAAGAGTCAGGAGCCCAGAGGAGGGGACAAAGGTGGTGAGGGGGTGGGGCAGAAAGTGGAAATGAAAGCAGGCAACAGAACATTGCTAGAGAGCATGAAAGGAGGTGAAAGGCGACAATTTTAGAGAAGAAAATGTTTCGGTCGCTACCCGGATTCGAATTCGGGACCTTTGAATGAGAGGCCAACACCTTAACCTCTTGGCCACGAGAGCCCCCTATCAAGCACTGACTCGGAGGTTTAATTTGGATTTTTATCAACTGCTTTGCTATACCGTCAGTTGGCTACACTTCTGTCTCTGCTTGTGTATTGAATGTCGAGAGGGCTGTCTCGGAAAAAAAAGACCCAAGCAAACAAACGAACAAACAAACATGGCGAACAAACTAACAAACTTGGGAAACACCCTTTCCTACACTTATCAGGTAGCATTGTTAGTACAATTTTCCAACAGAAGTAACAGAAGGAAAGGGTACAAAAGATATTTCACACCAATTTATGATAAGTGTTGCATCTCAATAAAAGCCGATAGTGTCCTGTGCTCAGGCTGTGTCGTGGTTCAGGACCGTATGTCTCCAGACTAGTCTTTCCATCCCAGCGCACTGAATGATACAGGTATGTAAACATTTCAAAGCACAGTTCTTGACCCTCCCCCGAGAAGGCCAAACATCGATAGTGTGGCCATCTCGCCCTCCCCCCTTCCCTTAAAAAAACCCCACCTACTCTCTCCCCACCCTCTCTCTCTCTCTCTGTCTCTGTCTCTGTCTCTGTCTCTCTCCCTCTCTCTCTCTCTCTCTCTCTCTCTCTCTCTCTCTCTCTCTCTCTCTCTCACACACACACACACACACACACACACATACACTCACACATACATACACACACACATATACACACATACACACACATGCACACATACACAAACACCCCACACTCTTTCTAAGGAAACCGGGAAAGCTTAACACTCACAGTGAAAACAAATCCGTGTAAGGAAGAAGGACACAGTTTTGTGTCCCACCGATTCATGCACATTTTCAATATAATATTCTTGTCTGTTTTTGTTGCGTAATATAAGAGCGCGAAGTACTCGTGATATTAGCGCTATGCGCTGCTGCTTTAGTTTAATTTTGTTTTGTTTTGATTTTTTTATATATATTTTTTTTATATATTTGTTAAAACATTTATTTCATTCAAGGTAGAAGTCCTGGTTAGTTATAAACTGCATTCTATTTTTGTCCTTATTCGGTAGCGTGGATTTAGCTCAGAGCGATCCGTATATGGTAAAGGCCACTCGTTCTCAGAGGTATGGTATATATAACATAGGGGTAGAAACGTGGAAGCACCAGTGGTACGAGGAAGAGGAGATCGGTGCGTGGTAGTTAGTGGTTGTGTTGTTCACATTTCTAGCAATACTGTGTACTGTGCATTCAGATGAGACTGTGACAGGTAGGCCCGGTGGCGTCAACAATATACGCATATATTGTGAAAAAGGCAGTTAAGTATAATGCATTAATGTATTGAAAGGAGGCGGAGGGGGGGGGGGGGTACTTAAAATTTGTTTTAAAAGCAAAGCGGTCTTGTCCGTACGGTGTCTGTGTTGTAGCGGTCAGGAACTTGGCTGTCGTACTTAGGAGATCCGAGTTCGACCCCTGAGTGGGCGGAAATTTTTTATCGAGTATCTGGGTCTTTCTGCTGGGATGTTGAATCCCTCTCAGCACTGGTTGGCCCTGACAGGCAGGGTATGATCTATGCCTGCTGTCACCTAAATGATCTAAATTGTGCCGATATGAGCATACGAACACCTACGCTATAAGTCAGTAATAGTAGTAGTAGTAGTAGTTGTAGTAGTAGTAGTAGTAGTAGTAGTAGTAGTAGTAGTAGTAGTAGTAGTAGTACGTCCACAAGATATGATGAAGTCAATTTTTGTAGCCCTATCTAAAACACAAGGTGTCACTGATTGTGATATGCATAGAAGAATAATCCTATAGAGTCATTTTACAAAACCTTTGTTGCGAATACTCATGAGAAGAATGAGAAACAGTCTAAGACAAGAGATATTATATCTAATCTAATTCAAATCTATATTCAAACGTTATACACAATTCGGTTTTGTTCCTGACAAGGGCATCAGAAATGCTATATTTACTTGAACAATGTTAATGGAAAGATGTACTGAAGAAAAGATGTACTGAAGAAAAGATGTACTGAAGAACAGAAAGATATGTCTGTCCGCCCCGGTCAAAATCAAAGGTAAGACGCAGTGTGCATATTATCAGCTACGAGGCTCAGAAGGGAAAAAAGTGACTTTCTATGAATTTTTTTTTTTTTTTTTTTTTTGGGGGGGCGGGGGGTTAACTGTTGAAAGTTTGATATATTCTACTTCATTTAAGATCAAAGTAAACAACTATAATCGACTAGATCTATAAATATTTATTTGGATTTATTTTGGAGGTGAGTGTGCTTTGTGCTTGGGTGATGAGATAAAGGAATTTGGACCTTGCTGGTGTGTAGCTGTGAGATTATTTATAAAACCATTACCTCATGGCCACCTTTGCTTCAACATTCTTAGTATGCAACTATTTTAAGATTTTGACTCCTTTTCGAGAATGAATGGTCTGAAATGTAACCAACTTGTTGTCACTATGGACGACAGAGGGCTCTGACTGGTGCACGGGGTAAGAACGGCAAATTCTAGTTAACTTCAAGCTTGTTTACGTAAACAGCTGACTGTGTGGGTGTGCGCCGCTAGCTATTGTTATTATTATTATTATTATTATTATTATTATTATTATTATTATTATTATTATTATTATTATTATTATTATTTCGTATGCGTTTTTTTGTAGTTTTTTTTTTGTTTTTGGTGCCAAATGAATGTTTGTCTTTCCATTTTCAGAGCCAAATATAGCCAGTCCCATCAATAAATGATCACCATGGAGGTGTCAGCTCTGACCTGGACCTTAATGTGCCTGGTCCTCCTGCTGCTGCTGGTCTACGTCTTCTACATGTCCAGCACACACATGATCTTCCGGAAACTGGGAATACCGGGACCCACACCCTGGCCCGTGTTTGGGAACTTCGTGGCTGAGGCAAGGGCTGGCATCATGAATTACCAAACCGATTTGTACTTTAAGTACAAACATGAAAAGGTGAGGGTTATAGATTGAATGTGGCTTATTGGCGCGAGCTCTGGTGTGGTTCGATCCTTCTTTCTCATCAAACATTTTTGAGGCAGCGTGGTGGAATCAGGCTCTCGTCAAAATAATGAAAGTGAAGAAACTTGCATTTTTCTTCAGGTTTGTGAATTTTTATTAAATATTTGCCTTTTAGCTCAACACCTTTCATACCCATTAAAGAACTCATTTCTGTATTAATTTTTCTGAAAAACGTTGATTAAAGGCACAACAAATGTAAATTTTCAGTTACCACGGACTCTAAAGCTAAGTAAATAACTAATCTTTGGCGGCCATTTTCTCACTAATTTTAGTACTGAAAACAGGTGACCCACCTCCTTCATTCGCAAATATCTCGACTTGTAATCAAGATAAATGGATATTTTTTTCATTTAGATAAAGACATGTGAACAAGCTTTAAGATGATACCAATAACTTTACATGCCCAAAAATTGACGATAGCCTGATTCCACCACGCTGTCTCACATATGGGTTATTGGCACGTGCTCTGGTGTGGTTTGATCCTTCTTTCCCATCAAACATAATTTATCTTCCTTATCTCTCCTCTTTCTTTTTGTGTTCATTATTCTCTTGTAATACCTCCAATCGCCGTCCGTTATATGACCTAAGTATGTTAAAAGCGTCGTAAAACGCTTACTAAAACAATATATTCAAGGAAACCTCTCGGTGTGTGTGTGTGTGTGTGTGTGTGTGTGTGTGTGTGTGT